GGGTGCTTTAATCCACGTTTTATTTCAGGACACACAAACTACTTTTTAAATCAGGGAACCCCCTTTGTTTCAGGGGATTTGCAGGGGGCTTTATGCAGAAAATTCGTCAGTCTTAAGTTGAGTTCTTTAGTAATTTTCCCAAAAATTAATTACTTTCACTTAGACTAATTTAGACAAATATTTTCTCATCGGGATAGAAATAACCACTTTTAATTAACTTTGGAATGTTGAATCTTTAAAGTTCTTATATACTCTTTAAGATTTGTAAATTAAATATAACTTAAATGTGATTTTTTGTATAAATTTAACTGCCAAGTGAAGTACAATTCGTTTCTTTAAATTTATAACTAACAATCTGCTTGTCTTTCTGACTATTTTCTCTTCTATCTTGACAGTCCGAATTATTTAAGGTTTTGATTAAAATAATACATTTAACTCTGACCGTTCAGGTACATTAAATTTGAAATGGAATTCAGAAAAAACACTCTGGATTCCCGCAAGAATAAACCACTTTTGTAGTCAATCTCTTTTATTTATATTCGTAAATTTATTACCTTCAATAAATTCAGCTCGTGACAGCCTCAATTATTTAAAGTTTTGTTTAATTTCAAACGTTTTGCTTTGACCATTTAAGGCATTTATGGCTATTAAACTTTAAAAATGTTTCACTTGCAGTTGATTTGCATAAATATTTAAACTTGTTTAGCTTGCATAAGCATTTTTGCCTCTGACTTTTGCCACGAGAGTCTAGTTTTCCGGCTTCCAGCATCCTGTGGCTTCAGCCTGTATTTGTTTGGCACAAATTTTAAGTGATTTATGCTGGCCACAATTGGCTGCGTCTCGGTCAGCTTCATACGCCAATGAACGAAGCCATGAAAAATGCAGGAAAATGCCCGTAAAGGAGCGACTCCTGTGCGGGTATCTCTCTATCAGAGCATGCATATTTATTTGCCAACATTTACTTATGCTGCATTTGAGGCAATTTTGTTTGGCCAACTCAAAAGCAGAGTGTCCAGACAAAGTTGCAGCTATAGATTTGCCAGCAAATTGCGTTGCCACAAGGACGCACATGAGCTATCAGCCTCTGGACTCGACTTGGAGATGGGTGCGTGTCACGTGAGCAAAATAATTTATACATTTCTTAAATACATATTTCAATATATTTATAGTTTAATTATAGATACTGCCTTGGAGAAACAAAACCCTAAAAGAGCGACTGATTAAGATGATTGCCTTTGAAATATTTAATTTTTACAGCAAGAAAATCTTTTATATATTTTCTAGTTAAAAGTTAACAAACGATCTTCCTTCCGATATAAACTTTATATGTTTTACAATTAACTAATCTCGTAATCTCGTGTTATGGAAACTAACAAAGATAATGACCAACTCTAATCCAAACACTCGAAAGTTTTGCGATTCGACTTGGACCGGCCTTCTGTTGGTTCACTCGAGCACTTATTTATTTGATAATAATTTCAGAGTTTCTTCCAAAACAAACTATTTACGTTGGCATTTCTAGGGAAATGGTACAGCAGGGTCTCGGGGGCTGAAGCCATATATACTACGGCTGCTACTGCTACTGCTAGGAACTCGACTGGACCGAGGCGAGCCAACTCTTTTGTCTAAATAAATAATCAAAATGTCATAACAAGTGCAACGGGAGGCGGTGCCGGAGCGGGGAGGAATGTATCTCATCTGCCAGGCATGTATCTGCAATGTTTATGCAAATTCCTGCGAGCCACTCCCGGCTCCGGCTCTGGCGTCGGCTCCGTCTTTGTCTCCTTAAGGCCATCCGTGCTGTGCTGTGCTGTGCCGTGCCGTGCTCCGTGCTCCTGATTACGGATACGCACACGCAGCCAGGATCGACCTAGCTCCCCCAGGATGCATCAGTGCAATATAAATATTTTACATAGATTTTACATAGCTGATTGAAGTCCGTGTGCATATGCTAAGCCATCCTCCACGCTGTGAAATTATCCTTTGCATGGCAATCATATCAAATCAAATTTAAAGTGCCCCACACCAAGCACAGTGGGCTTGACACGGCTCCTTAAAGCCGAAGGAATTGGGGTTATCCTTTTCTGACTTTTATTACAGAGTTTATTAATGAAATTAATATCTGCAGCACTGGTGGTTGTATTTGTTTTTCTTAATTAAAGTCCTTTCAATATCTGTGGATCTAAGCTTCCGGGCAAAGCCAATATTTACTTGTCTATTAGAAATCTTCCAATATCTTTTAAATATAGAAAAATATAGATGAAGTTTTACATTTGCGGGATCGAGTATTTCATAAATTACTTATATTTTATAAAAGGAATAAATTAGCATTTAATAGACTCTGATATTTCTATAATACAAATATTCGGTTTCCTATCATCTTTGATATATTACATAGTTTCTCTTGAATGCCCTTGAGACTTAAATTTCCCCAAATTATGCCGCACTTGTTTCGTTTTTTTTTGTTTCATTTTTATTTTCTATAAATCCACTTTTAACCCACATCCAAATCCCATCCATAGTTCGGACCAGCACTATGCTAATGTGGCTCAGCATTTGCATACAAAGGCGTAAGCCTAATTGAACCAGCTGTGATTGGAATGGCCCCACCACCAAAACCATGAATGTGTGGGGTGGCTGGGTGTTAAGGGTGGCCGTGTAAAGGTAATAAGGTGGGTGCGGGGGTGGGTCTTCCGGGGCTAACCGATTCTGCGGGTGGGAATTAGTGGTGACGGCGGTGCAATTAATAGCTAATTTAGAGTCGATGTTAAAAAGGCAACATTATTTATGATTATTTGTTTATTGCTTGCGGGTCGATTGCCGCTTTCCACCTGAACAAATTAACACTCTGCCGTCCCTTCCGGAAAGCACTCTCACTCCCACTCCCAGTCCCTCTTCCACCTCCTTACCCACAAGCATACACAGATACACATGCAGGAGAAAAGCCGCTGGCAGCATTTAGCTGCAATAGACAGCCATTTTGTGGTGTTGCCTCGGCGATAAAGTAATAGCTGCTATTTGGGTTTATGACACACACACACACTGGGCAGGCTACATGTGTTTTTGGAGAATTTTCTCTGCTTCCGGCAGACACAGACACAGCCATAGACGTCTTTGTTGTGCTTTTCCACCAAGTTAAAAGCAGAAGCCGCTGCCAAAGGCAAAGCTGCAGATGGCTGCACAGGGAAATATTGTGATTGTCTTTTATTTAAATTGATCGATTTTAGTTTAACTAAATAACTGATTAAAATTTCCCAAAGACATATATTTTTATACGAATTTCACACATTTTGTTAAAATAAAACAAGCATCGGTCAATGAAATATCCATTCTATCAAAGATTTTGCAGGAAACTTTTATCGATATATAGTAATAGTTCGTTTTTAAAATTAGCATTGTCTTAAATCTCTTAAATAATTTAATGTAATTTAATTTAAATCTTAAATAATTTTTTATTGAATTACTTACAGTAATATTTGTCACCAATAGTTAACTATACAAATTAGCCAAGATTTTATTATTTAAATCTCCTTTAAAAATATTTTTAAAAACTTTTGGGAAAGAACATAATAAATCCTTATATTTATGAGAAAGGTTTGCATTTTTCACAGTGTAACGGCGGAGGTGGCCGCTCTCATAAGAGCAGGGGCGGGAAGGCGTGGCAGGCGAGGCGTCATTTTGTCTGCGGTTAGATGCGCGTACGTTTTCATGTTTTGTTCGTATTTCTTTTTGTGTGTACTTGCTCCCCGTTCTTTATGCTCTTGTTCTGTTTTATTTTTTCTACTTTTGATTTTCCCACTTTTTTTCTTTTTTTTTTTGTTTGTTACAGCGATTTTTCCATGTTGGTTTTTGGGCTGTTGCGCTGCCGTGTTTTCCGCGGATCCGCTGTTGTTGCGGTTGCAGCACGTCTGAATGTGTTTATGGCGCGCATATCCGCAAATATGCAATCAGACCATAATCTACTTAATGTCTTTTTCGCTCGCCCAGGACGAAGGGACGAGCACAAAGAAAAAAAAGAAGCGCATTGTGAATGAAGTAATGCAGTTTGCCACATTTCGCCCATATTTCCCAGGGAATTCACACGTGCGTGCGGCTATTTATGCGTCCTATGTGTGTGTGTGTGTGTGTATTGGCCAAAGGCAGAGGACACGGCACATTAACCGAAATTAGGCTGTCACTTTTTAGGCATTCGCGCATTAGCTTCGAAAATTCGTTAAAAGTGCGTGTCTTCGTTCGAGTTTGGGTCGTTTCATTATTTTTATGATTTATGTTGCCTACTTTTTGGGGCCCAGCGAAGCGTGCAACGCTTTGAAGTCCTCGCCCGCCACAAGGATATTACATGCCGACAGTGAGTGTGTACATTCCTCTGGAGAGCCAACTGTTGCCTGAGAAAGGCAGAAAGTTTTAAATTGATAATTTAAATGGATATTAGCTGGAGATTTAACTTGGAAATTATGGTATAAATATTTATTCTGTGTAAATAGGTTTCGGTTTTCAAATTGGCAAAATGCCTTCAAGGAAGCTTACTAAAACTACACAAAAACCTAAATTTCTGCTAAGAGGTAAAATTAATAATAACATTCCAACCTTTTAGCTTATTTTAAAGACAAGTCTTCTGTCCAGAAAGAACACACGAAAACAAAACGCAGCCAAAACAAAACGACGCTGGCAAAATATTTTGCCGCAGACAACATTAGATATTGTTTTGAGCCGTGCAGACATGGTCGGCTGGCATTTTAGTTTTAGTTTCTGTAGCCGTAGCTGTTGCTGGCTCCCTTATTGTTATTGTGAAAGTCGGATCTGGCAACTTGGAGCTGGCAACTCGCAGCTCCAACTGTCTCCTCCTGGGCCTGGGCCGTTATTGTTGACTTGGCGCACAATGCGGCCATAAAAAGCTGGCAAAAGCAGCGGCAAACAATTGGGACAATAAAACGGCTTTAAGACACAGCACTGCACTTTCGAGAGCAGACCGCAGATAGAGGCAATTAAAGGAACTTCAGTTTACTAGAGCTCTGTATCTGAATCTAAATCGGAGTGGGGGGATCAGCGATACTATCCTCTTCATGTGGCATTGAACAAGCCCTTGACGGTCTCGTCGGTAATGTCGATAGGCAGGTCGTAGTATCCTAACCGCCGCAGCATTCGCTCCTTGTCCTCGGGCACGCCGTATATGTCCTCGATGGGCATCATGATCTCAGATTCATTGGGCAGGATCAGCTTGCGGGCGTCCTTGCGGAACAGGGCCACTGCCTTGACCATGTTGGTGTGAGCCCTGGCCAGGTGCTGAAGGGTGAGTGTCTTCCGTTTGGCCGACAGCTTCGACTGGATCCTGTCCAGGCGCGAAATCAGAGTAAGCAGTATGAAGCGGGAGTAGCGATCCTTGATCTCCAGCAACGACATCTCACCTGCTAATAATTAAAATAAACAATTACAATATTTGTTAGAGGATATTGTATTTATATCCCCCAATCTCACCGCCATCCTCCAGGGGCGGACGCATGTAGAAGTTCAGGATAATGGACACGAAGATCGCGTTGATCGTGAATATCATTAACAGCATCGCCAGCTGGAAATAGTCGATGTCCTCCAAGAAGGTCTCCGCCATGTGCTTCCAGTACATGAGGTCGTTGTTGTGGAACTTCCACTGGTAGTGCAGATAGCCGGTCACCAGAATTCCGACTCCGCTGTAGATCGCGATGATGGGGTAGTTCATGGCGAAGTAGTCGTGAGATTGCATGCGTAGCATATACCAGGATTCCATCCCTTCCGCGGTCGGTTACTGTCCTATGTCACTGGGCTCTGGCTGGGATCGTTGGTTTATTTAATTTTGCCAAATTTTGAGGAGTTGGTTCCGAAAGGAGAGCTCTATTTGATTTGTCTGGTGGGTCTACTAAGTTGGCGCAGGAATCTATGTACATAAACTGTCATTTTTGACATCTTTAGACATTACTTTTATGTTTTCTTATTAAAAGCATAGTAGAATTATACATATATTATATATAAATTTCGAGTAAAAACCGTGTTTATAAGAGGTTTTTCAAAGTTTCAAACTTTTACCCCTATTTTGTTATTTAAATTGTGTTATTTGCAGGGGATTTGAGTTAAATTTTGAGTAACAACCATGTTTATAAGAGTTATTTCAAAGCATCAAACTTTCACCCCTATTTTGTGGATGTCAAACATTGTTCGGCTGTTGCAAAGGGGATGGCCAACATGTTGGGTCTCATTGGTTTGAGCTTTTGAATTTTAGTGGCTGCAAAGCTTGAGTGGCTTTTCCGTGGCCCTTAACACTGACTTTTTCATTTCTCCTGTAACATCAAACCTCGACAGGCCTGGGACCGCCCACAACTGCAACGGCAACTGCAACATCCAGCTCCTTAAAGTCTTCGAATTATTATTATTTGTTAAATACTAAGTTGCCTTTTTTCTTTTTTTTTTTGTAGCCCAAGGCCCCTTGCTATCTTGGCTAAATTTTGCTTGCACCCTCGACCGAAACCCAAACGATTTGAGACGCTGATAAGCTGGGGTAAAAAGCGAGAAAAGAAATCGTAGCATACTTTTGAGCGCAATGCAATTTCGCCATTTTCCGTGTCCATTTTTTTTTTGGTGTGCGCTTTTCCTTGTTCCTTTTTCTCGGTTCCGTTGCTGGCTTCTTTTCGCTGTGCACTTATTATTGTCTCTTTTGCGTTGACTTTTTTGCGCCAAAGGGGCCAAAGTGCATGCAAAACTGCATTTTGTAGACAAGCCGAAAACCGAAAACTGCCAGCCAAAACGGAAATATTCAAAAATTGTTGTAGTTGTAGTCGTTTGTGGGTGTGGGTGTGGGTGTGGGTGTGGGTGTGGGTGTGGGTGTAGGTGGGCGATGCAGGTTAAGGGGGAAGCGGTGCGCCTCTGTGAGAGTGTGTGCGCGCTAATAAAAACGTAAAATTTAATGGTTACGGAAGGCACTAAAAAACAGGCTCACCGACAGCACCCAACTCGTTGTTGCTGCCTCAGTCGCGAAACACTGGACGAAAAGTGGTGTAATTGGATTTAAAAATCTTGTAATATATTTTCATAGAGTACTGGCTGAGGATTATAGGGTTAAAGGTTGATTAGAGGTAATTATTGAATTGGAATTTAAAGTTTTTGCAATGATTTGAAATAAGCGATACAATTTGGTAATATTTTATGGCCTCTATTAAGGTTTTTATATCATATTAACTAGGATATTTTTGCTTAGAGTTTGTATATTTATAAAAAAGCAAAGGTTAAAATGTTAATTTACGTAATACTTGAATTGAATAATAATAAATTTATTGAATTATTATTCCATAAACTAAATAAAGGCATTACATAAATATTTACAATATTTTAAATTGATTTTCCCCATGCAGGCAAGTGATTTCTCCCAGTGCATCTGTATTTGCCGCTGCAGTGGTGGTGGAGCAGTGGTGTCGGCAGTGGTCTTTGGCTGTGTGAGTAGTGGCGCTGGCGATAACCAAGCAACGAACCACAACCGCACCAAGGACCAAGGAGCAAGAAGCAGGGAGCAGGCAGCAGGAAGCAGGGAGCTTGGGGGTAACCAGTCGATGGGCAAAACTGTAACTACGCCAACCGCCGCCGTCCTTGCCGCTCTACTCCTGCTTCTGGGGCTGCTCCTATGCCTCTGCTCCCGCTCCCTGCTCCTGGCTCCTGCTTCTGCCGCCGCCGCCGCCGACGCAGTGGAGCGCCCATCCGTGCACGTCAAACGCAGACAACTTGAAAAATGTAGAGACAGCGCCGCAGTATAGTTGAAACACGCCAAAAAATATGCAAAAGTAAAATAAAACAGACATGGGGCCGGCAGACAGACAAACGCATTTGGGGCCAGCAGAATGGCGGAATGGCAGAGGAAACTGGCGGAAAGCAGGCCGAAGCCCAGCCAGGAAGAGCCAGCGGCCAACAAGCAACTACCAACTATAAACAGCCGCCCAACGTTCGACAGTCGAGGGTCGAGGTTCGACATTTGCCGTTAAAGGTTTTCGTTGTTGCTGTTTATACTCGATGTACTCATCTTGGCCAAGAGTAACGAGGTATCTGAGGGTATCGAAGGGTATATTAGGCCAGTTTAAGCTTAATCTTAAGCCTAGTTGAGGTTCTTTAAGCCTAAGTCATGGGTTACCAAATTTTTAATTCAAATATAAGAGGGAACATTTTAAACTATTTGTTATAAAATATAGAATTGTTTTTTGTTTCATTAAATATTTAAATTTATATTGTTTTTTAAAAGAGATACAAATTTATGATAACCTAACCAGTTATGTTTAAGAGAGTTTTTTAGAAGTAAGACAGTATTTTATTTAAGGGTATGCTTAGGAAGATTTGTACTGGCTTTAAAAATTAAAAGAAAATTTTAAACAATAATATCTTTCGGTTAATAATGATATACCTTAGAAGGTAAGTGATATTTAATCTAGACAGCTTAAGACTTTCATACAAGTAAAGCAATAATTTCTTTGATTTCTAAGATTAAAACGATTTACATGAGTTTAGTTTAAGTTGAATTTTAGAATATTATAATCATAAAACCCCTCTGGTTTCTGCTTTAGATACTTTTACTTGGATACTTTACTTTTTCTATTTCTGCCAGCCAGCCATTCGTAAGGAGTGTCCTTGTCCATTCAGTATTTAGGAGTCCTTGCTGCGCCTTGCTGTTGCTGGTGACTTTTAGTTTCCTTTTTATATTTGTATTTGGCAGCGCATTGCACAATATTTTGCAGCAGGCATTTTTTGCCCAGTTGAATTTTTTCCAAGAGGGAGAGCGGGGGAGCAGCTCCCTGACGTTGTCCACTTGACAGCAGGCAGTAGTGGGAACAGGACCAGCAGTTGTGGGAACGGGAGCCGGAGCTAGAGTTGAAAAGTCAGTTGTCGCTGGGAGCGAAAGTTATGCTGAATTCGGAGAGGTGTGTGTGCGTGCGTGCGGCATGCATCGGGACACTCGCTCGTTTGTGTGGCAAAGGACTCGTAACTGAATGGACAGCAATTTGCGCGGCTAAACGAGTCCACAAAGGACGATCCTCCTGCTGCAGGACCAAGCCAACCCCTCGTTTGCCCTGCTGGCCACTGCTACTGTAATTAGGTTTGTCGCTGACCAGACGCAAATGGCACCGAATCGAGTCAAAGTCACCGCGACTGGCCCAAAGTATGCTGTAAATAATTCACAATTGCGCGCCACATTCGAATTTCGCACTCGCACCAGAGCCGCTCGTCCTCGCCGCGGCTCCCTCCATGGCGGAAATGTTTGCCTTGTTTACAGCGCAGTGCATAAATTTGCAATTGCACGCATTCGCCATCGCATACAGATACAAGTGCAATGGTGCGTGCCTTTCCGCCGGGGCGCACCGGGAAGGGGGCCCGGGCCGGGCAGGCAGTCAAATTAGGTCTACTCCCGGACAAAAGTCCGACAGCAAATTTTCGTAGCTAACAGCATTTTCAAGTTTTATCGTTACGTGTGAGAGAGCGGGCGCAGCTCTGTGCGATTTGGGGGTTGCAGTCGGCGGTGCTCGTCGGTGTCCTTGGCACAGGCATTGTATTATGCTCTGTCCGTCCAGTCGTCGTGCATCGCACGCATACACACTCGGCGAAAAATTGGCCAGGACTTTGTACTATTGATAATTTTAGGGACTTTTGGAAATATAAAATACCGATGCATTCTGCGTTTTACCATAAAACCAGCGAGTAAATTGAGCGAAAAACTGAAAATTTTAGCGAGAAACGAAGTAACAGGAGCAGCCATAAAGGAACTTTAGACTCGTTAAGGAATTCTAGTTTCCAAACAAACGAGTCACAACATCATATAGACATGTCCGAATGTCAATCTGTCTATCTATAAGAACTAAATAAATAATAATAAATAATAATTATTAAAGTCCCCAAAATTGATCAAAAACGTAAGAAACACTTCCTCATAGTCTATTTACACCAGGCTGCGTTATTGCGTTATTGCGTTAACTCAGTAAACGTAGTTTTTTTTACTAGTAGTTTTTAGTGATGGGAAAAAGTTGCGTCCTAGTTGCGTCCAAGTTGCGTTCATATCGATAACAACAGATTTGTTCGATATTCGTGTCACAACAAATTTTTAAGATTTCTACTCGATATTTGGACTATCGAACAAGTTCCACCACCAATTTGGAAAAAAACTAAGCAGCCGACGATTGATAATTCAATCTGATTTCAAAAATGGTCGAAAATGGATTTGTGTGATACACAATGTGTGAAGAAGAAGAGCTGTCGTTGGGGGCACTACTAGGGGATTGGACGGAAAATGTCTTAGCCAGTCGTCCATTCCTGAGACTGGCCAGTGAAAGAATTGTCAGGACCAATTGGAAGAACTGGTAGAAAGAAAAAAAAACTTAAAACAAACAATTAAAATAAAAATCTATAAATTTAAAATGTATATGCAAATTATTTATTGGAAATGTACGCCCAACGCTTGCCTAATGCGTTTAGCACTTTCGGTTGCAATTCCTATAAAAGTTTCTTGATCACGTTGTCCCTCCCTTATTGCACACTTTTGCTCTGGATATGGCAAGGGACCTCGCTATAGTGGGGTACTCCGCAGAGGATCCCAAGGTGTTCAGGGCAATCCCTGAATTTTGAAGCTCCTCGAAGGTTGATGGAGACATCCCAGCCAATTCCATGAACTTCATCTTTATGTTGCTTTATTGCTGATATTATCAAGCTTTCGTCGTTGTTCATTTTCGTAATTTTTCTTGTTTCAAATAATTTCAAACAAGCTGTCAAAAACTAACGCAATAACGCAAGTTTTGTAGTATAAACTAGCGTCTTGCGTTATTGCGTTAATTTCGATTTCGATAGGTAACTTAGGTCGGTGTAAATATACTATTAGAGTTCAAATATTTCATTTAAATATGAATACATTTGTGCGAACGTATTTAAAAAACAAAATTATGATCAGAATGAGAGTTATTGCCTTAAAATACTGATGCATTTTGAGTTTTACCTTAAAACCAGCGTGTAGGTTGAACGAGAAACTTGTAATTTCAGCGAGAAATTAAGCAGCAGCAGCATAAAGGGAACCTCTAACTCGTTAAAGGGTTCTAGTTTGCAAACCAACGGGTCACAACACCGTTTTAGACTTGTCCGAATGTTTATCTGTCGTCTATAAGAAGTAAGGCTTATTAAGCCCCCCAAAAATTATCAAAAACGTTAGAAACACTTTCTTAAAATTAAAATATATTTTATAAATACATTTGTACGGAAGTATTCTAAAAAAAGCTTATGATTAGGATGGTAGTAATTGGCCATTATGTTATTTTACATCACACTCGGTCTTAGACTCGCCTAAGATGGTTAGTCACACTAGATTGTTTCTTTCTTACTTACTTATAGAGAAACTACTTTATTTTCTTTATAATCTTATTTTTAATTTCTTAAATAATTAATAAAGTGATATTTTTAAATTAAACGAATTTAAAATGCACACTACATATGTACATTCCCACAAAAAATCCTATACTTTGGACACCAGTGCTTGTACTTTGAAACAAGTTTTAATTTTGTTACAAATATTTAAAAAATATATATTTCCTTTTCCAAATACATGCGCTGATAAGCAATAAAATAAAGTTTCTAATGCGTTTTTGTAAATGTACAGCTGCTAACGCGAGCACGGACCTCGCCTAGCCTTGTCTATTTAGCCGCCTGCATACAAAATGCACATAAATTGTCCTGTTCCTGGAGCAGGGAGGGTGAGCCAAACAGGGGCAGAGATGGCAAAGGACGGGGAAGCAATGGGGGCGTGGTGGCTCCATGGCCATGTGCCGAGCATATTTATATTGATTTTCGCGCCTAGGATTGGCATTTGGGGGCCATGGCATGCGTCGGGCCGCCAGCTTGTTGTTATGTACTTTGGCTTTTCAATTTCGGCTCGTTTTCCTTGTTTGCTCGTCCATTCACATCTCTCTCTCTCTCTTTTTTTTGTTATTGTGTTTTGTGGGTGCACAATAAATTGAGCCGAAATTGCATCAGCGAAATTAACAGTTTCATGTACGTTAATAGACTTTTGCAGTGTCCCAGCACCAACTGGCAGTGCTTCGTCCATCCCTGCGGGTCGGGAGTGGAAATGGCACTGGGACTGCGACTGGAAATGCCCGGTCGGCTTGTGGCAGCGGTTGTGGGTTGAATGTAGATGTGGCTGTGGGGCACTGAGCCCATTAGGTTGGGGCTTTTTAATTATGGCTAAAGGAGCATTTGCTGCCGCTTAAAATTAAATTTCCGCTTTAGGAGTAAATGCTGGCAGTGGCTGCTTAATTCAGCATTAGCCGAGGCTTAAATAAATAAACTGATAGCTGCAGGTGTTGATATTCTACCAGTGATTTCAGGGAACAATTAATTGCATCAACAATAAGGTTTACATAGAACTTATATGTATTATTTTCGAATTAAGTTGAATAAATCAGTTTTATATTTCTGGCTGTAAATAAACTATAATGGCTTCTTATATTAGTTTAAACATAATTTTAATAAAATTTTTAATAAAGCTTTAACTCTAGTTTATAAACAATCTGACTTCATATGCCACCTATGAATTTTCACCTTAATTTATCTCTCCAAACAACAAGCTACTTTAAATCCAAAGCATGGTTGCTGGTCGCACAAATGGAATTATAAATCATTCGAATTGCATACAGCAAGAAATAGACACACAATGTGCGTTATTATTCTCAATGCTGCTATGTGGCTCATTAGGTCGCCGCGTGGCGATGCTCCCTCTCGAGCAGGAGCCCCTCCTGGCCACCAGTCCTCTTCAATTCAATCCACTCTCAACATCCGGGAGCGCAACATTTTGCATGGCTAATTAATCTGGAGGGATACCCGGCTGCCGATGTTGTTGCAAGTTGCAAGTTGCTAGTTGTTGCACATTAAAAGTGTGCAGCTTCGGCAATTTCTGAAATTTCTGAAATTTTAATATGGCAAAACGAACTAACAATAAGCAAACCACTTAGTTACTTCTCGCAGCCATGGCTAATTTGCTTTGTTCAGCTGCTCCTTCAGCTCCTGGTCTTGCTGGAGTTCCTCCTCCTAAACCGAATCTATAAAATGGAAATGAAGTTTCCTCTGGAGCCTGGTAAAAGCAAGTTTCGGTAGCCACTTGAAATATGCAAAATTTGTAATAACCTCAAGAAGGAAGTAGCATGAGATTGAGATTGTCGACTGGCAGGACCTCTGGAGAAGGGCGGGACGAAATGTCGAGGGCGGTGCAGGCGGCAAGGACGAAGAAGAACGAATCCAGGCAACCAACGCACGCAATCGGCAACGTGTCGCATTTGTAGTTAGACATAATTGTTAATTACCCGAAACCATTACCACATTAAAGGCCATAAAATGCAACACTAATTGCTTTATGCCACCTCGACGAGTCAGGGAAATGCAGTGAGAGAACATTTTGAAAATATAAGAATTGAAAAATAATAAAAAACGAAGAGTCTTGTTATGGAAATAGATGTAATGTTCCATTTTTTTTTTGATATATTTAAATTTTTGTTAAGTGTAATATGAACGTCGCGACGTTGTCATAAGATCGAAATCACATCTCTCGTTATTGATCTCTTTGTCTTTGATTTTACTCGTTGCTCTTAAAGTTGATTTGCTCGTTGTTTTTTAATTCGTAGTCTTGAAGGCTTTTGTCACTCGTTGCCATTACTTTAAGTCCTTAATTGTCATATTTACTCGTTGTCATTACTCGTCAATTTAAACTACTAATTTTTCTCGCTCGCTTTAATGGTTCTTGACTTGGCTTCATTTCCAGGCTTATTCCTTGAGGTAAACTCTCGCCGCATTAAGACCCGAATTAAATGTAATCATCATATTTAATGTAATTTAAATTTATACATTATTTACCCAAAACCTTCACCCTTTTTCTCGTTGTGCACTTGGCTCGCTTAACACTGGGCGAACAGTTTCTATTTGATTATGCAGCCAATGCTCCTTTGTTCTGGTTCTGGTCGGGCTGCTCCTGGTTTGAGTGTGCTTAATGTGCGCCTGTAACGTAATATGCGGCAGCAACAATAGTTTCGGCCTCATCATCATCCTGCCGGAGCACAGCTCCTTTTTTAGCTGCAGGACTACGGGAGTACATGGTGGTACAGGACTACAGGACTATAGCTCATGCTCATGCTCATGCCATGCCAAGCAAACATTGCCATTCGGCGGCAGTCATCGTCGCCAAAGCTGCACATGCCGTATGATTAATATTTCAAAATTACACTGACATGCAAAGTGTCAACTCATTTCGAGAGACGAAGCCGCCGGCAGCACTTGGCACTTGGCAGGCGGCAGTCGTCAGTCGGGAGTCGGCACACCGGCACTCAGGCACTCAGCCACTCTGGAGTGCGGACTTTGTTGAGTCCTGACTGCCCACCTTGCCGCCACACACACACACACACTCACTCAGTTAGAGCACAAAGCGCTGACAGGAAAAATGGTGAAAACGTTTTGTAACAATTCACTCGCAGGTGGCCCTTGGCGGCTCCACGCGGCGGGGGGGATATCAGCGAATAGTAGGCGTGAAAATCGTGAAATAAGTGAAATATTTATTAGCCCGGCACATCGCCAGTCACGCGTTCGGGGCACGCGATTAAATTGAAATTACCGACAGCAGAGCAGTCCCCCGAAAGGTTATCCCAGTGGGCGTGGCGTTAATTTAATCGAATTTATAAGCACCTATGTACTACGTCTTGATAACGCAATCACATTCACATTTACTCATGCGCAGCCACCAGTTCCACCAGCAAAAAGTCATACAAAAACAATCGAGAAAACGTGAGGGAGCCACGAATAATGAAGAAGGAAACTGGCTGGGGGCAGTGGAAGTGGCAGCAGCAGGAGCATGACTAGGAGAAGGAGGCGCAGGAACAGGAGCAGCTACATCAATGCCAAGCGTTAATCGATTATGCTTGCTGACTTACATAATTGCATTTTTCCCATTTCACCAGTTGTGAATGGAAACTAAAGGAAACCATAATCGGAATAACTACAGAGAGAGAGAGAGGTATATGATCGACTGGGTGTACTCTGTAATTTATAAGGATATTAGATGTACAGGAATTTGGAACAGAGTATCTTTAATCTTAAGCTTATTTTTTAGTTAACATATCTTGCTCTTTTAAAAATGTATGTGCCTTTAAAATCATCTTATAAATATGAAGAAAAATATATACATATGCTTATAAAATAAAATAAATAAACAGTAAATCTTCTTAAATACCACAATTATATTTGTTCGACTTCCCTTTAATTTCAAACAAAATACGTGACAACAATAATTGCATAATTGTTTTTGCAATTTAATGACTTCATTAGTAAAACTCAATGGTTGACAGGCGGTGGTCTAGTTTTGAGAATCCCAAAACCACACATGACAGCATTATTGCGGCAAATGCATTGATTTATTCGATATGCCTATCTCTCGGCGAGCAGACTCCGCCTCGTCCTTATGGCAACCGAAAAGCGGCAACCGCAACAAGGATAAGGATAAGTCGGAGTGAAGCGTTTTTAATTGATTTCTCCTCTCTGGCCTCGCCACGTCCGCATTTATCAGCCTGCCATTCTGCGGCTTGTCTTGCGTAACTGATCAGAATTGATGCCACTGATTTTATATAATCTTGCCCAACTAATCTCATCCAGTAGTTGCCCCCGGAGCCGGCTCGCAATTAACACGACTCACCGCGCCCACACAAAACGCCGAAATGGCAAAAGGCAAATGGTGAATGGTGAATGGCGAATGGTAAATGGTAAATGCTAAACGGCAAATGGCAAAATGTATCCCGATCCCAATCCCAATCCCAATCCTTTCGGGACTGAAATATTGGCCTAGCGATTTGACATATTGCCAACAAAGGAACTCATTATCTGTGCATTAAAATGGGACACGGCTCGCTCTCCGTTGTTTGCCTTGCCTGTTGTTTTTGGTTTGGGGGCTCTTCCGCTCCCTGTGTGTGTGTCACGCTTATAAAACACATTTATCATAACTAATCCTTTGGGTTTTCGGCTGCCATACCTCCTCCCCGTTCTCAGCCGGATCCGGATACGCCCGGCCCCCATCCTCTGTCACGCCGGCACTCAGCCACCACTGCTCTGTCACCGATAACACTTTGAATAATAAATAAATACAAACAACGACATTTTTGGCAAAGGCAACTGCCAGACGGCCACACAACGCCGGGCGATTTTTAATGCAAACGATTATCATGTAAGGCAATATAAAAATAAATTGCAAGCAGCCAGCAAAAAAGGAGAAAAATCAGGAGCCGCGGCAGGACATGGGATATGGGCAAAAGGGATGCCGGTCCAGATTGGTTCCCTTGGAGTATACACAGGGGGAAATTTTAAGAACAAGTTTTGTAATAGATGATCTTTTTTGTAATAGATGATCATAATTAGCTTGTAATTTTTCTTAAATATCTTGTATATATATTTTTCTTTGTACTTTAGCCAAAAGGCTCTTAGAGTTTTGTATTTTTTCTGCCCGTGCACAACTCCTGCTTCTGATAGGCATCGGAGTCTAGGCTGGCAAGTTCCCAGGCCCGGCTAATAACACACAAAAGGCAAAAGGCGACACTTTAGCCCCAGAAACGGAGGCCAATCGAGTATCGCCTCCGCCGGCGAGTCCGAACTCCATCCAGCATCATCAGATCCAGTTTCAGAGGCTGCTCCTGCTGTTGCTGTTGCCTTTTGGCAGCATTTAAATAAATTTCACACGTACATATAGACCAGCGGTTAGAGCCCGTCGAGAGGAGGGGAACACGAAGGGAACTCGGTGGGGAATACTCAGTAGCACACACAAGGCACAACCAATGCTGACTGTATTTCTGCTGCTGCTGCTGCTTCCAGTCCCGGCCTTGTTGCTGCTGGCGACAGCACTTGGCTCGAACTGGCCTGGTGGCCATTAAAGCCAATTGCCCACAAAATCATGCCCGATATCATAATTGCTCTTCGTGGTTTTCACACCCTGTAATCCTGGAGCTGAATATGGGGGCATGCTCGTGAACATGTTGAAGATGGAAAAAATAGGAAAAAGCATTAAAACTATATACATATTTTCTTAAATTCTGCTGCATCATTTTTTTAAATTTGTATGTTTTTTCCTCAAGAATTTCAAGCTTGATGATGAAAAATTAACTACTGGTAAAACTATTTAATTTTAATGGAGATAAAAGAGTTTTGTTATTATTTATTTAGCCACAAATTAAATATTTTTTAAAACTTTTTATAGTATTTTTGAGTACTATATAACCCCCTCTGCTGGGGCCAATATTCAGCATCGTTTAGTTAGCGCCAACGGGCGATGCGATGGCCAAGCGAGTTGGACGAGCGGACCCCGGGCTCTTGGCGCTTGGCTCATATAAAATATTGTTTATTCAGTCCGAGGGAACGAGATGGCGAGAGTCGTACGTAGAGTAAATCACAGATGCGATAAATTTAAACACTTGTTGTAGTTGCTGGTGCAAAAATTTATTAGAAACACTTTGCGGTTGTGTTGGTTTTTTGCATGCGTAGCCGATGGCCCTATTAACGTCTCATGGTCAGTTGCAGTTTTATTGAATTTGCGACACTGAGTCATGGTATATATATCTGAATCCCTACACACCAGAGGCTTCCTAAAGCAGGTCAGCATCATGGAAAAATAAGAATTTGTTGAAAATCTCATCAAAAGGGTAACGTATGTTTCATTATATGGATATTGGTATTTAATTACAAATCTTTGTTGAAAAAATACATATGTCTCGAACATTATGTGTTATTTTACGAGCCGCATCCGCCATGTCAAGTTGCCAAGAGAAGTTCAAAGGGCAAACGGGCCTCCAATTTCGTTTGTTTTGGCCACTTGAATTCGCGCCAAGTTAATTAACACTAACGGCCCGGTCCTAAGGACTGGGGCCAAACTAAACAAGGAGGTCTCCTCGAATGCTAATGAAACGTTCGCTGCATAAATTTAATTGTTTATCTGCCGTCTGAGCTGGCTAAGGGCCAGAACCCGCCAAATGCCTTTTGGCTAGCATCGGTTGGAGATGGAGTCGGAGAAGGTTCCGGAGATGCTTCAGGAAATGGGTGTGGAGTGTCGGATCGGATCGGAGGCAAAGAACATATGGCGCACGGCTGTTTGGCAAGTCATTGGCAATGCCGATGCCACGATGATGACTTTTAAACTTTCTATTAAACTATAACAGCGATGATAGATGAATAATAAAAGCGCCAAATACATAATAAAAAAGTTTAGCGTCATTGGCGACAGGCGGTTAGCTTTCGTTTCGTTTCGTTTCGTTTGCTTTGCCTTGGCTTTCCCTGCCACTTTGAGGCCCATCAGCAGCAGCCAGCTTCGTTCCCTTCAAATCAGTCAGCCATATTTGCCCAGGAAAGTTGCACTGTAAAGAATAGTCCTTAAAGCTTAGCCTGAAAATATTCTATTGACATTTTACAGATTAAAAATTAATATATATTTTCTGAGAATTTTAAAGCCTACATATTAAGTTAGCTTTTATTCCAAGTGCTTGGATAAAAGAATTTTGAGCTTATATCTAGACCTATAATTATTTCTTTCAGTGGCTAAGGGAGCATCGGTGAAGGGCAATTGTGCTGCAGACGAAGACTGATGCTGCTGCATTTGCGGTGAGAGTGCGTGCCTCGCATAAGTTAGAAACGGTAACTGGCGGCAGGAGCGGCTGGAACTGAGCCTGCCAGGCAAACTATGGCCAGGAAGCACAGCATATCGAACAGATTGATGAGTTGTTGAAAAATGGCAAACTTAAACAACAATTCCGCTCCGTAGAGGGGCGCCGCATCCGGGGCGAATGACTAACGACGACGAGCTGTGAGCGCCCCCTTTGTGCGAAATTCCACATTTGGTTAGCACATTCGGTTTGGTTCGGAGAGAGATAAAAGCACGGGCCTGGGCAAGGTTGAAGTTCCAATACACGGAGGAACAATAACTTTGAAATGGGGTATCAATTTCGTATTTTTTCAAACTAATAAAAATAACATAAAATGGCTCATTCTTTACGATGAGCAAAATGTGGCAACGAAAAACTAACCCAAACATGTGCACAGGTTTTGGTTTTTGGTTTAAATTGCTACATCAATTTTTTTTGAGGCTGTATTTATAAACGATCGAAATTATTTTAAATTAATGGGTTTCATTTAATGGCAAATATAGTTATTAAAATGATTTATGTTGACCTTACGAAAGGCATAATGGTACTAGATATATACTAGAATGGGAAACTATGTATGTTAAGTCAGTTAATCATACAAAATCAGTACTTTGCATTTAGGGATAGCTGAAAAAGTATATGTATTGATACTGTAATGATTTTTGACGGGAAATTTTATTTATAAATATATGTTCTTTATATTTACCTCTTTATTTGAATGAGTTCATTATAAATTAATACATATTTCAATGATTTTTAATTCCAGATATTCTAATAAAATTATCAAATGTTTTACAGACTAATTATCGATAAAGATCTATAACAATTTACTTATTTTATAACTTAAAATTAAATCATACCAAAAAGCTTAAAATTAATTGAATTATTTCCAATTTTTGTTCACTAGCATCTCCACCTAAGAGTTATATTTTAGACGCCTGTTCTTTCAGTAGTATTACCTTGACAAGGCCTTGTGTAGTAGCGCGATCCTGCAGAATCGACGAGCAAGGAAGGATAAGCCCGCATGGGTTTATAATCTAATTAATCCTCGAATTGGATTCAATAAATTAATCAGTTTGGCCCTAAATGGGTTGTCCGGCTGGCGATATGCAAATCGTTTAATCAAAATGTAAATGTAAATGCGACAAATTAAAATGTTCTCGTCAGGAGTCGCTGGCGAGCAGACATTTTGTAAATATTATTATTACATCTCTTTATTATTTTTTCTGTTTGCGTTTTGCATGTGTGTCCATTTATTTATATTTTGTGGGGTCGTTTATAATTTTTTCGTACCTTTTTTACGGCTGCATGGCTATAAATTTGCATTTAAATCACCGCCAACCCCGAAAAGCGAGGCCAATTGGCTGGGGTTATGGGTTGTGTCTATGTGGGTTGTCCTGGTTTTTCGGGGTTTGTTCCCGCCGAGACAAAGGGACAGGACAGCCCCTCGTGTTATTAACCACAAAGTGTCACATGATTTTATTTCGTTTGCATTTCACCTGCAGCTTGCTTTTTGCGCTCCTGCCCATTATTTTTGGGCTGACTTCGGCCCGATGTTAAACGCTGATAAGCTCCAAAGGACATTTCGCAACATAAAATAGCCGTAAGTAGCACTTGTCTAGCTAGCAAGTTCGAGTTTCGAGTTTCGAGGAGCCGGGACCCAGGACCAAGTCCTGACAGCCGCGACTCCTTGGACTTGGACTGCACTGCAGTGCAGTTAGGCGAGTGCAGCTGGGATTGCAATCGCCATAAAGTGCGCCGCCGGTCGTCGTCGAGGGCAAAATTGAAGTGCAAATAAAACGGCGAGCAGTTCGCTGCATGCATTTTCGTTGGGATCCTTTTTTTTTTGGGTGGAACACTCTACCGTTTGTCGCATATTTCAACAAATTTTTTACTGCACTTTGCAGTTTGTGCACTGGGGAAAAATACAAGAATTAAAGGTAAAAGTTGTTAACTATAATGAACTTTAATATACAGCTGAATTCGAAGGAATCTAACAATAATGGAGCCTTTGAAATTTTTATCTAGCATAATGACTTATTAGGGATTTTATAACAGAATATAAAAATAATAAAAATAGTTTATAATATTACATAAGTTTTAAGTACTTCTAAATGAAATCTTTGGGAACCGATAGTGATTATTTTCTCTTACAATTTCTTTTTTCAAAGCCTTACTTTTTTTGACAATTTAATTCTCCGGGTGTTCCTGTTTTTTTTGGGGGAGCTTCCCCTTTTTGTGTCGCTTAAATGTCAGTGAAACAAGTCAACGGAAATGGTCGGAAAGTATTTTGTTTGTTATGCTAAAATTTAATGGCCCAGGAAGTCGTATTAAAGAGCAGCAGAAAAGCCAAGACAACACCAACATCAGCTATGAAAATAAATAAATAATACGGAAATATGTACGGATTGGAGTGAAAAAAAAAAGAAATGAGGCAGCAGCAAGGAAAGAAGGAAGGAATGGCAGTCAGACAACGATTTTTTGTTCGATT